GTAATCATTGACTACAGCGCTGACAGGTTCGGATGAGGTTTATACGCGTGAATTGCGGTAAACCCCGTCGGCCCAAGGCTAAGGAAACATGTCTAGTCTGTGGACAACATGGGACCGATATTTGGTTTAAAGGGAAGATACAACATTTGCAAACATCAAAAAACAATTTATCACGAAATATCTTACTGGATTGTTAGGGATTGACAGTCTAAAATCATCCTGTGAAGTTATGGCTCCTGGTGTGCTGACATTTTCAAGAAACACTGTATTTTTCCAACGCTGGTCGGCCGACCAGCGTTGGAGAAAACTGGCTTTTTTTTCAAAAATTCGGTCGATCACGGCAAAACTGTTTAAACAATGCAGTTCAATAAGCATAAAGAGGAAACAGTAAACTGTTTTTCTTAATAACACAAACTTCGCAAAGTTGTTGGCCAGGTGTTTTGGGGGGGGGGGTTTGCTCCAAACGTTTGGACTGTGCATCATGATCCCTCCATGTTCTGAGCAACCTTCATTTCAGAATTGACACAAAAAATTGGGGTGGTGATGGAATTTTTTCTTAAAAACATCAAGTTAAAGGTCTTTTTTAAATACTTGCTTCCATGTTAGGCATGAGCTTACCTTTTGTTCATATCCAACATGCAAACCTTTAAAGGGAAGATACAACATTTGCAAACATAACTTCTTTTTATCAAATTATCACGAAATACCTTACTGGATTGTTAGGGAATGACAGTCTAAAGCATCCTGTAAAATCGTGGCTCCTGGCGTTTTTCAAGACATTTTCAAGAAAAAATGCATTTTGTCCAACGCTGGTCGACGGCGACCAGCGTTTGAGAAAACTGTTTTGTTTTGTTTTCAAAAAATTGTTCCTAATTTTTCGTATTCAGTTATTCCGCATGTTCTTTGCAATTGATTACACACCTGTGAAGGGGTATACAAGCCTGCTAGACTGATTCTCTGACCTTACAATTCCCCAAAAATCTGCTCCGTTTCATACCTAAGGGGGTCAGGGAACCAGACTACAAGAACATGGTAGGTTTTCTGGTTGTTTTTTTCCAGCATCTACAAGCCCAACACGTGAAACAAGTCGACATTCGCTATCACACACTAATCCTCCAAATTCGATTATTTCTGAAAATTGCAGCAAAAGCAAATGTTGTACATTCCCTTTAAATCTCATAGCTTTCCTGACCCTTTGAACTTCGAATATTTGTAACAGAGATATCTATATTGTAATAAAGATACCTGTATTAAAGAGAATTTTATTTGAAATAGAGATGTCTCTATAATATTCGTGATTACATGTTACATTTTGCACGCCATAAGCTGTTGAGCAGCGAGCCGATTTTCTGTGTCAGGCAAAAAATCTGCCTGCTTGAACCAGTCATGGAGGCAGTCACCAGCAATGTTCATCACATGGATTTTTCGTTGGTAATCTGCTTTTGCTAAGCGGAATGTTTCTGTGTTAAGCATTTTTGTGTACCAGTGGCTCCATGAAATTGCCTGCAGTTGGTGATTGCAATGACAGTGATTGTGGTTATTATATATGGTCAAGGGTGGATCCAGAACACACATTTTGGGTTTTTTTTTGGGGGGGGGCCAAAAAAACTGTCGGTCCCCCAAAAAGTGGGCCCAAAAAATTACGGCATGGGGTTAGCGGATTCTCTGTGGTGCGATCTGAGGCAATTTCTGACGACTTGGACCAATTGTTTTTTGAGGAAAAGATGGTGTTGTACGCAGTGCCTGCCTTCATTGCGACGTCACTTTAAAACAAAATGGGTTCGTTGGTTTGTTTGTTTGTTTTGTGGGGAGGGGGATGGCCCCCGTCCCCCCCCCCCCCCCACCCGGATCCACCCTTGTATATGGTGTTGGGGCATGGCAAAACTCCTTTTTGCTTATATTTATGCAGTTTGCTTTGTCTCAACATCTCAAGTGAAGACTGATTTGATGGGGATTATACCCCATAGTGCTATAGTGCTAAACTCGGCATCATCATTGCGACAGTTTAATAATTTGTGTAAATACAGACACAGTTTATCAGCGTCTTCATCACCAACAAATAAACACAACACTTCAGCATCATTTATTTTAAGCTGGTCAATTATCACATAACACCGGAAACGATTTTTCCCCCGGAAACGATCTGTAGAAGGTAGGCATCATCAGCTGTGCTGATCTTGGAAGATCTTCCAAGTCTTCGGAATAAAAGTGGTGGAAGTGACTTCACGTAATTGCTTTCTGTCGGGGTGAGAGGTCAAATGTCGGCCATTGACCCTCTGTGACCATTGAACATCGATTGATTCTCTTTGCTCCGTTGTACCTTGAAGTACGGTATATAATTTGGACTCTATGAAGTACGGACTGATTAGTCATATTGCGCATGTGTAATTGAAGATAATTCAGACAGTGACAGGTAACGTGTGAAAAGAGACCAGATTTCGTAGGAGTCCATATTATAGATGACACCGTCTCCAGCCGGGATCTGATCAATACAGGAGATTTGAAAGCGATGGAAACATGAATATTTCATCCCTTGTTGGAGCTCAACATGAAATCGATTTCGAAAATGGGAAGGGGGGGGGTTTGAAAACTGGCATACTTTATTGGCAAAAAAATGCCCTGGTATAGCTGGGGGGGAGACACCAAAACAGCTAGATCTGGACACTGACAGTGGCTTATTTGTGGGCCTTATTTACGTGTTGGCCATTTTTGTCGAGTTCCTCGAATGTATTTCATTAATTGTTAACTGTTGAATGGGGTGGTACCAGATTTTTTTTTATGCAGGCACAATGCAACCTAATTTTACTGTCATTTTTTTTTTTTAAATATGGCCTTAAACATTAGGGAATGTTTAATTACAAATGTTAAATTATTCATTGAATCAGACTGGAATTTATTATACATTTATTATAACTTGCTTTCATTTCTCTTCGCAAGTTCCAAAAATAAGATTTTACCTCGCTTTCAATTCAATAATGGCCGACTTGTGAATAAGGCCATTATAGTCTACATTACAGGCGCGGGATGGGCTCTTTAAGTTTTGACTGGACATTTTTGATTATTCATGACAAAAGGAAGGGGGCGTAGGCCTCCAGCAAAATCTGTGTGTGTGTGTGTGGGGGGGGGGGGGGCTCATAATTATCCCCGTTACGACATCGGGTCATGCAGAAAAGCCGTGGTTTACTAACAGAAGTTGATGGTTTGAAAGGCTCCACTTTGTAAATACTGAGGAATTCGGTCTGAGATTGGCACGACGTTTTGAGGAAAATTTTAGCGCAAAATTCGAAAGGCGACGGAGTATCGTGTTTGGATGGAGCTTAACATTTGTTCGTTGGCATTGACCACGCAAGCCTAATGCATCTGATCTGCCAACACTTATGTAAATTGACAAAAATTATAACATCTCTTTTCTTGATAAGAAATCGTGATAGTCAGACTCTCTGGTCAGACGAGGACGTTTTTTTGGACGTCGCCAGTTTGATTAATTACCTGGGGGGGGGGGGGACTTTACAGACAGTCACGGCAAGCATGCACCTGTAACTGATCAGACTCTAGTCTGGCACCCGGGCGATGGTGAGGCGGAAACCGCGTCATCTGCTCATGAGCTGTGTGGACAAGAACCTCCCGATGACGTCAAGTAGGCTGCTGCACTTCCTCTCCACTCAGACGATGTGTTCTACTTCTAGTCACTCATCGTGTTTTTTTTCTCTCTCTCATCAATTCAACCAATTATTCCCGCCATTTTTATTTAATGCCAATATCCTGCTAGTGGCGTAACTACGGCCCAATTTGCAGGGGGGGGGGGGAAACACTAGTGGGATCTCATTTTCTGGAGGGGACACTTAAGGGCCCGCTCTTAATAGTTTCAAACAATACAAGTTCATATGATGAAAGTGTATAAAAAAGGAACAAAAATCAAACTCAAATAGATCACCCCTAAAATATGGGGGAATAAAACACGTGGAGAAAAGTAAGAGTAGGGACTGAGTGATTTTAGGATATCCTTGGCTTTGTATTTAGGCCTACATGTAATAAGTTCATTTTTTTATGTGCCACTATTCTGTTTGCTCATATTTGCCGAAATAAATAAATAAATAAATAAAATTTATTTCTGGTGAAAGTTTACTTGTAAATAGATTAGTCGGCGCACGAGTGTCAAACTTTTTAACATACTTTTTACCCCCCCCCCCATATTTTCTTCACTGAGGGAGATTACTAATACCCGCTATGTTTAAAGACTTTTTTAGAAAAAAGGAAATATCAGAAAATATACTTTATGGGGATTGAGTTAATTTCAAAAATTGAATTATTTTCAAAATTGATCAGGGCTGAAATTCTGTCCCCACTACAAATGTAATTGCAACTGTCAATCTCAGTGAATAGTTCAGGTGTTGGTATTTGTTGGCAAACAGCCATTTCCCCCCGATTATATTAATGCTTGCTTTGAAGTGTCTGCAGTCCTTATTTCACTGAATGTTATGAAATGTGTAGCAAAATTTAGGACTTTTTTACAGGTAAATATAATTATAGCTACTGGGCTTTGAAATTCGAAGCTTCCATTCCCTGCCACTAATTGTTTTGTTGCATACATAAAATTATGAGCTAGTACATGTACATGTACATTGTACACTGTACGTACATGTACATGTACATGTACATTGTACACTGTACGTACATGTACATGTACATGTACATGTACACGTACAATCCCCCTGCGTACAATCCGTACCCAGCTCACACATCACACAGGTCAAAAAGTCACCGCCACTTGTGACTCCGCCTACATGAGAACTTTGCAATTATTTCACAGTGCACAGTGCCTTTACTGACGTGTTACTACGCGGAATCAAATAACTCCTCATCCCTAAAATAAATAGGTGAGCCTCGGGCATGGATGTTGCTGCACAGCGCGGATGAATATTAACAGCCTGTGATTGATTGGATGACGGGCGGGTGATTTCGTGTGCGGTGCCCCTGATTTAGCCCGTGCTGTATGTATTGTGTACTGTACGTGTATTAAATTCCTTCTTCACTCGTTCAGTTGTCATTCATGCACAGTGTGCGGTTCGCTGCACAGGTGGCTCTGTCTCTCCCCGTGTGTTTTCAGTTTTCTCGGTAGTTGCATTGCAAAGTCCTGCATATCTCTGCTTCTCGTGCACTGTGTGTGTGGATACATTCTGCTGCAGGATAGGGCCAGTTGAATTCCACGCCAACATGGCCAGGACTCTAGCACTTTCCGTGGGCTTGCTAGCCGTGCTCACGACACTTGTGGCGGGCCAGGGAGCCGATTTCACGCTAGGCACGACCGACGTTCGCGGCGACGTGCCCCCGGTGATCAACCAGCCCGAAGACCCCGTTCAGACCTCCAATGACATTATCGAGCGCAACAGCGGCATCAGCGTGGCCTTCGGCCGCTCCAAAGTCCTGGATCCCGAGACCGAGTTGAAAATCAACGTGCAGCCCGGTGACATGTGCGTGGTTACCGTTCTGACCGACCCACTATCGCAGATCCCCGGCCGGCTGACCCCCAACCAATTCCCCTGCGACTTCGGCCCCGGCGATGTCAAGTACGTCCACTTCGGCTCCCGCAAGCCTATGCGGGACCGCGTCAAGCTGCAGCTCCGCTACGACTCGGAGACCAGCACCATCATCATCCCCTTCATGATCGACGTGACCGTGGAATCCAAGCAGCTGGAGATCATGCAGAAGCGCGTCCCACTGATGGTAGCTGATTTGATGGGACTCAGCGATGTCTTGGACGGTTCCAAGCTGGAGTTCGCCTACGACCCCTCCCAGGTTTGCAAGGTGACCATCCTGGGCTCTTCAAGTGGCTGGCCGCGCTACGGTGAGGTTGTCGGTGGAGAGGCAATCCGGGGTACCATGCAGGACTGCGCCGATTTCTTGGACTTGGGACTTCAGTACAGACACACCTCCGCCAACGATTCCCCTCGCATGGACCACATCCCCATGGTTGTTGAACTTCAGGATGAGAGTGGTAATGTTGTACAGCAGGAGTACTTTCAGGTAGATGTCATCATTGAGGAAGGAGCAGAGAACAACCCGCCTAGTTTCAGCAACAGTGTCATGATGATTTTGGAGCTGAACCAGTTTGTCATGACAGCCGTCACCCCAGAGATCATCGCTGCCGAAGACATCGAGACAGACCCAGATAAGTTGGTTTTCAATATTACTGTCCCTCTAGGCCCTAGTGAAGGTTACATTACTAGCACTGATGACCGCAACCTCCCCATTTCCTCATTCACACAAAAAGATGTTCGTGACTTGAAAATTGCTTATGTCCCCCCAGCCAGTGACTCTGACGAGATGAGAATTTTCCAATTTGAGCTTGAAGTTGTTGACTCTGAACTTGCTTCTTCTGAGCCATTCTCCCTCATGGTCGTTGTCAACCCTAAAAATACTATGGCTCCTGTTGCAACCAGAAATGCAGGCCTTACATTGTTTGAAGGTCAGTCCCGCCAGATCCTCACAGACCAAAACCTTGAAATTTCTGATGAGAACAATCTCTGGGATGTTGTTATTGCCCCGGTCAATGGACCTTCCCATGGTTTCCTTAGAGTAGATGGCCAACCCCGAAAATTCTTCACCACTGATGAACTGAGAGCGGGCGTAGTCACTTACCACCACGATGGGTCCGAAACCTACAGCGACAACATAATCTTTAGAATGAATGATGGTAAAAATGAAACCGAGTTCCTGTTCCCAATCACTATTGCCCCTCTCGATGACCAGCCCCCTATCATCAATGTTAACACTGGCCTTCAGATTAGCAAGAATGAACTGAAACCAATTTCTGAGTTTGTGCTCAGTGCCACCGATGTTGATTCTGATGACAGCACTATCAGATTCATCCTTGAGCCCCCGTACTCCACCCAGGGCAACATTGTCATCCGCCAACTTGAATTGCCACCTGATCCCCAAAACTGGTCTTTCCTTGGTAACTACTATGAGAGAGCCGTCACTGAGTGGACCCTGGACGACATCCTCAACAATCGTCTTTTCTATCGTCATAATGGAGTTCACAACGCTGATGTTGTTATGGACAGAATGCTCTTCCGTGTAGCCGACAGCAACCCAAACCTCTCACCTGTATCTGAGTTTGTCGTGAAAATCCTCCCCGTAGATGACCAGCCGCCGTACTTGTACCCAGGCACCACACTGGACTTGTCTGTTGACGAGTTTGCCCTGTCTACTATCAGGAAACTCAATCTGCGGTACACTGATCAAGACAGTGAAGACCGCAACTTGTACTACACTATCACTGATCCCCCAAGAGACACTGATCCCAACAACCCACTTCCTGCAGGTCAAATTGTCTTGATTGAAAACCCTGATGTTCCCATCTCTAACTTCTACCAGAGCCAGATCAACCACCTGAAGATTGGCTACAAGCCTCCCACTGTCGAGCTTGGCATCACTCCTCGCAACATCCAATTTGTCTTTGCTGTTCAAGACGAGGCAGGCAACCTTGTCTCCGGTCAGCACTTCTCAATTCTGCTTCATCCAGTTGACAACAAGCCTCCATCTGTGACCAACACTGGCTTTACCGTGTCAGAGGGAGAGTCGATTTTGGTGGACCTGACCATGCTTGACGCTTATGACACAGATACTGACAATAGTCTACTCACTTTTAACATCAAGCAAATACCAGCCTTTGGCAACATTATGATTGATGGAGTTCCCATGCAGCCTGGAGACTCCTTCACACTTGATGACATCTCCCGAGGTGCTGTCACGTATGAAAACAGTGGAGCTGAGGAGTCTGGTGATGTCATTGATTTGGAGTTGACCGACGGTGTTCACATTGTACCTGTAACTATTCAAGTCAATGTACGTCCTGTGGATGATGAAGCCCCTACTTTGGATCTACCTCCAGGCACTCTGGGCTCTTTCCTCGAAGTTCCTGAGCAGTCAAGCAGTCTCATCACTAACAACATCCTCAGTGCATCTGATCCAGACACTGAGGACCTCCAGCTCACTTTCATTGTCGATCGTTTCCCCCGGGACGGCATTTTGGAAAACAATGGATTGCCCCTCGTCTCCTTCACGCAGCAAGATATTGTCAATGGTTACATCCGGTACAGACACACTGGTGGTGAAATAGGCCTTACTAAACGTGACGACTCCTTTAATTTGACTTTGTCTGACATGTCCGATCGATGGGTGAAAGACAGCACAGTCATCACGCAGATTGAAGTTTTTGTCACAATTCTGCCGGTGGACAACTTGGCTCCTAATGTAACAGTCGGTGCTCCATTTGATGTTGATGAGGGCAGCAAAAATACAATAAATCTGCAGTATCTTGCGGCTACCGATATTGATTCTGTCGATGATGATATCATCTGTACGGTGATCGTCCAGCCCAACCAGGGCTACCTAGAGAACATCTCTCCTTCCCCTGGTTCGGAGAAGTCACGTGCTGGCATCCCCATCAGTGCTTTCTCCATCAGAGATCTTCGTCTTGACCACATCAGCTATGTCCAGAGTATCCACCAAGGCACAGAGCCTAGTGAAGATCAGTTCACCTTTGCTTGCTCTGATGGTATCAACCCATCCCAGACTTTCTTCTTCCCCATTGAAATCAACCCAGTCAACGATGAAGAGCCAAAGATTTTTGTTAGAGAGTTTATTGTTGAAGAAGGTGGTATGATAAAGATCGATCCAGTTTTGCTTAACGGCGTAGATGAGGACATTCCAGGTGATATTCTTGAATTCCACATTATCGTCAAGCCGACACGAGGAGACATCATCCAGTCACGAGCCACCATCGTCGTCCCAGTGAAGAACTTCACCTTGGAGCAGATCCAGAGCGGTGTGGACATCTTCTACAAGCACGACGGAAGCGAGACACAATCAGACACTTTCACCGTTACCCTGACCGATGGCGTCCACGAGGTGACTACTGAGGTGAACATCATCGTCGTGCCAGTAGATGATGAAACTCCGCGCTTGGCCATCAATGATGGACTGGACATGGAAATCGGCGAAACCCAAATCATCACAAATCGTATCCTGCAGGCAACTGATCTCGACTCGCCAGACTCTAACCTCACCTTTGTAGTCCGCTTTGAACCCCAAAATGGTCTGCTGCAAAGGCTGAGCAAGTTTGATGGCTCTGTCGTAGAGAACATCACCCTGGGCATGAACTTCACTCAGTGGGAGGTTGACAACCAGCGCATACGTTACGTCCACACAGGCAAAGAAGGTGGCCGTGACCTCATCAAGTTTGACGTCACTGATGGTACCAACCCCCTGATCGATCGCTACTTCTACATCAGTGTGGACCACATCGACAACGTCCATCCTGATGTCGTCAATGCTGGTGTGACGCTGCAAGAAGGAGGGCGTGTCACCCTGACTACTGACATCCTCAGCACCAATGACATCAACAGCCCAGATGAAGACCTACTCTTCACTATCACTGAGGGGCCAATCAAGGGTCACCTCGAGAACACCGATAATCCCGGTGTGCCCATCACCTCATTCACTCAGCTGGACCTAGCTGGCAACAAGATCTACTACGTCCACACCCAAGATGACGAAATGAGAATGGACAGCTTCCAGTTCCAGGTGACTGATGGTTTCAACACTGTGGTCCGTACTTTCCGCATTTCCCTCAGCGAGGTTGACAACAAGAAACCAGTCGTCACCTTCTCCCCAGTTACCCTGAAGGAGGGAGAGAACAAGCTGATCACTCCCTTTGAGTTGCGAATCGATGACACCGACACCCTGGACCAGAACAAGCTGAAGTTCACCATTACCCAGCTGCCTCTCCATGGCAACCTCCTGAGAGACAACAACGAGATTGTTACGATGTTCACCATGGCTGACCTGAACGAGAACCGCATCAGCTACCAGCACGACGGCAGCGAGTCCTCTGATGACAGCTTCTCCTTCATCGTGACCGACGGCACCCACACAGACTTCTCCGTCGCACCCAACGTAGACGACTTCACCCGCACCCCACAGAAAATGAACCTTCGCATCGTTCCAGTCGACAACGGCATGCCGCAGATCGTGGTCAACCGTGGGGCACCGACGCTGAACAACCTGGGCTCTGGACATCTGGGCTTCCTCCTGACCAGCAAGTTCATCCGTGCTGAAGACCGAGACAGTGACAACACCCAGTTGATCTACATCATCTCAACGCCGCCCAAGCACGGCTACCTGATGAACCTGGCTCTTGGCAACATCAGCATCACCAACTTCACCCAAGGTAAGTTTCTTCAATTTTTTCCTAACATTGGATAACCTGGTTAATAAGATTCTGAAATTGAGAGTGATAGAAAATTATTGGCTGTTATATTTCTCAAATTGAAAACTTCTGATGATCAAAATATTAAAAAAAATCACTTGAATGCAACTGTGCATAATTGAACTACATCTTTACCCGTAAGGAAATTCCATCCAGATTTTTTTATTGGCCTATATAAAACTAAACAATTTCAGAACTCGAAATGCCCAGCTGTAACTGTGAAATTGGCTTGATAATATTTTTTTACAGCTAAAAAAAATAGTCTATCCCAACAAATTTTATTGATACAAAAATTTACCGTTCAAAGTGAAAGTTGTTTATTAATTTGTTGGCAATCTGAGCTAAAACAAAACCTCAGTTTACATCGTATTTATGGTCCATTTGTTTGCGCATGCTGTCGTGATTTTTTTTTAAATTGGCTTATTAAATTTTGCAAAAACTCTACTTTCAGAACCAACAACGAGCACATAGGCCTACATTGTATATCTTAAACTGAAAATGAAATTGGTATGGAATTTTCTTTTTGCTGTGAGCAGTTGCTTTGTTTCCCAAAACTTCAATTGTCAAACATACCAGCCATTAAATCTGTCACTTTTACTAGTCATTCCTTGCTTTTTAATAATTAAAAAAAATATAAAATAATGTGGGAAAAGTACACTCTGCATTCTAACAAATAGATTAATCTTTTCTTGATTAATTTTGGCCATGTAAAAATTGTTTGAAGGTTACTCCACGATTGTAAGCAGCCCCAGTTACTAGTACTGTCAACAAAAATTTGCAGTTATTCAATTTACAACACAGCCACGGTCCGATGGTTTGTGTTGGGTCCCATCTTTTGTGAGAAAATCCAAAGCAATAGATCACCTTCAGCAATTCTATAATATTTTTTTTCTCTTGAAAGAGGGATGTATAACTAAAGTGTAGTCTGCACTTTTCACTTCAGTGATTTCATTTTTGTTTGCTTTGGCCGTCATTGGGAGTACAGGAAGTAGTTAGGGCTAGGTCAGTGAGCTTTTGCATTTTATCCAACACTCTCAGAGTAGGGGAAATTTTTGTTAACATTTTATTGTGACTAGCGTTTTTTTTTTGTCTGGGAGGCCTTGAGATGAAGATATTTAAATACCTTGTAAAAATTTCTTGATGCAGTTGCATTCAGTGGTTTGTTTGGCATGGAAGTGGTAGGTGTCGAATGGTTTTTGTCTGGCCATGGAGAAATTCCTCCCATAGTTTGGCACAATCTTGTAAAAAGTCTTAGTTGATTTTTTTGGTTTTATTGGCTCTGGTACTTGGTATTTTTTACACAGGCATGCAACTTTTCCTCAGATCCGCTGATTTCCTTGTTTTTTACTTCTCATGAATGTCGTTACAAATTGAAAAACACTGTACAAAGTCTTGTGTGGTTTGGAATTTCCTGGTTTTTATTCTTAGTTCCCAGTTGCATGCCTGCTTACAACATTGCTATCTCCAGAAGTTCCATACAACAATTTCTCCATTTGTTACAGTTTTGGTATTCCTTTGCAAATGACTCAGCCAAAAACCCCAAATTTTTATGAAATCCTACCTACATTGTAGGCCTATTCAGTCTGTAAAATTTGATGGCGAGAGAATGCACAAAAACAATTTCGGTTCCACAAGTTGGTTTTAGAAACTTTGACCACCAACGCACGCACAATTATTGTTTGGACTTCCCACAATTTTGAAAAACAAATTAAACATCAATGTTATCCAACTGCAAGTTATCGCCCATGTTTTTTTTTTTTCACTTTACAACCATCATTTAAGCAATTTGATTCTCACGTGAAATAATCCCAAAGGGCCACCACATAATCTTGAATTGTTGGCAAGCTCCACTGATCGCTATTGTATGAACTCATGTTGCCTGTTTACCCAAGGGGGGTCAGCTGGAATGGCATATGTGTGCTCTCTTGTCGATTGCATTGTTCCTGGGGTTTTTTTATATTTTTTTTGGCACTGCTTTCTCCTTCACTATGGGTTGGATCTTTGCTCAGGACTAGGGGCCAATATTTGGTTATTGACACAACTAGTGGGAAATGTCTTGATCACTTATTGCATTTTTGAGCTGTGGAATGCAGTCACGCAATGAACAGTTAAATAAAACAAACTAATGCGCATACACGGAGGCTGGGTCAGTGCATTGGCGGTATAAGAGTCTATGTTCCTTTTGAAATTTAACATTAAGAAAAGTTTTCTGACTTTTTTCTGAAATTTTTTACTCGGCCCAAACTCAATCCATGTTGCTGTCCACATGCTGATTCGACTCCTCGGCCACGCAAAGAGAAAACAAAAACGGGAAAGTTACTAGGCAACCATCAAGTGTCTGATCCGTCCCGATTGATATTGCTCGGTTGTTGATCTAAAAAATCCGTTCCGGAATTGTTGAATTAAAAAAACCAAAAACTCAAAACTCTTTGTTTAAAAAAAAAAAAGGAAAATCTTGCAGACAGGACTTTGGTTGACTGCTAGTCTGCTGCACTGTCTGCTGTGTGGTGCATGCCAATGTTTTCTGTTGATTGTGGACTCCAGAGTGTTTGAACGGAATGTTTGCCTTCCGATTGGTCGTGCTGATAGTGTCTGAACTAGAGGGTGGCATACATGTACATGATTGGGAAATCATAACCTTGGTGAAGAGAGACTTAAATAGATTAGAAAAAAAACGCAGACCGTGGTGTCTTCCCGTTTTTTTTGTGCGCTCGGCTTCACATGCAGAAATTGTCTAACTACATTTGTACATTTGTAAAACTAAAAGTAAAATTTAAAATAAAGGCATTTTTTTCTTTCAAAGTTTAAATTCGCTATGGATTCTGATAGTTTAAGATTTTGGTCTTCGCTAACTTTACAACATGGCGATTCCCATTTTGTGAATGTTGAGTTGTCCTCTCAGCTTCATAACCAGAACTTTACTAAAAGGCTCACATTCACAAGTAGAGCTTTTCTACAAAGACTGAAATTTACTACGAATTCTAGTATTTTTAGATTTTGGTTTCACTGACTTAACAACTTGGCGTGTGTCCATTTTGGTGTACTCTCAGCTTCAATTAGCAGGACTCTTCTTAGAGGCCCTAATTCACAAGTAGAACTTGTCTTAAAAAAAGCCACATTTCTCACAATGTGTGACAGTTTCTTTGAATTCTAATAATTAAAGATTTTGGTTTCACTAACTTTTCAACCTGTAAGCTTCTCATGAAATGTTTAGTTTTCGCATTTTTTTCTCATTAAAACAAAAGTCTTATAAGTTTGAGAAGAGAAATCGCAGCCTTTGCCCCCCCCCCCAAAAAAAAGAGATATAGTGGTGAAACCCCCTTTCATGAAGCTGATGAAAAATATCAATCAAAAATCATGACCCTCTTCTAGGAAGTCATTGAAACTGAAGAGTGGGTTTTAGGAAATCTGTGGTAAATTAAATGAAACCCTCCTGCTGTTTAAAAGGTCACAAACGGTCAAAGTTTCCTTCCACTTCCCCTGGCATACTTTTAACAAACCAATGGGTCACTTGACCAATATTGACCCTAGTAACAGCATGGCTCAGAATGCATGGTTCCATAGGAGGGTTTTTAAAATAACAAAAAAAGAGAACATGTGCTAAACTTAACTCGAAGTGATAGTAACAATAATAGAAACCAATGAAAGCAACTACAGACAGGATGGAAGGGTGTATAGATTGGTTTTCAAGTGCTTCATTAGCTTCCCGGTCTTCCTGTTGTTTGTACAGACAGGAACCATTAAAATGTTGAGATCTTTTGTTGGTTGGCAGGGGTTGCTATCACAATTTCCTATCTAATCTCTCTGTTCAGGATTCTAGTTTAGGATTCTTCTTACTGTTGTGATTTGGTGTGGTTCTATTTCCAGTTGAAATATAATGTCTAAAAAAATCTGGACCTCGTGCGACACTGTGATTAAGTTAGCTAGTCTGTGAGCAACTAATAACTGCTGTGTATTTTTCATCTGGTAGAGCAGACACATTTTTGTAAATTAATCTGCGAAATTTTGTGCAGTGAAAAGTATTAAGATTAACCCTCCTATGTCAACATACATTCTGTGCCAGGTAGTCCTTTCAGTCAAAATCAATCAAATGACTGTCTTCGACAGTTAAGAATTCCCAGCCTAGGTAAAGCAAGATTGACTGGCTGTGACTGCTTATGTAACTTTGCTTTGGCTGTTGGTGATTGATAAGCCAGCTGTGTTCTCAACTTGCTTTGTCTGTCCATGGTTTGTTGACTGAGTTTGACTAGTCACAGTGCTTGCTTGCTTGCTTGCTTGACATATGATCTGACTGCTGGTGACTAGTCTGTTAAAAGTGTAACAGGGGAAGTGGATGGAACTTTTGACTTTCTGTGACTATTTAAATAGCAAGAGGGTTAGTTCAAATGTTGTGCTGCCAATCGAAGAAATTACTAGCAGAAAAAGCAGTTCAAAGATTTTTATTTGCATTGGCAGTGTATAATTAGGGTGTATAGGACATGCGAATATTGGTAGGGAAAGCAAAGTCATGTGCTTGGTCAAAATCGAAGGAGTGGAAATTTGGTAGTTAAGTTTTTTGCAGACCATAATTTACTGAAATCCTGTCCTCAGAATTGAATGTAACCTAAACTCTTGCCGTCTGCTCCTGGAGACATTGAAATAAACTAGAATTGATGGGCGGGGACGAACAAACAGGAAAATAAAGATAATGTCCGCCTTCCGATGCTTTTGAGACAGAGGTAGTGAGGAATAGGCATGGTGTAGTGACTAACTTCCTGCCGAGTTTTATGGGAGGGCACTTAGGCCAAGAAAACAAATTCTGTGTCTCCTATTACATGTACAGGTACATTTAGGATCATTGGGTGGGTGGGTAGATGCATTCTTTTGGGGTTTTTTTCCTTCTAAATTCTTAATTGTTACAGCCAGAAAAACTAGGGTGGGAAAATGGTCGATTAATTTATACATAGGGTTATTTTTTGCAT